AGTCCTTGACAGCTGGGGAAAAAAGAGTGCACATTCTATCTCCATGGGGTGGATTTCCTAAAAAAAAAAAAAAAAAATGTTATAAGGATCTGGGTGCCCTAGCAGCCAAAGAACTCAGTTGTGAAAGGCTTACTGTGATCTGTGGGTGAATAAACAGGGAATAAAGTCATTGTGAGGGGCTGGTTTCCTGTCCATGTATAGTATTAGTGAGACTGATCTTGTCTGTTCTTGATAGTCTCCTCTTAAAAAGGATGCCCAAAAATGTGATGAAAAAGAGAACCATAACAATGACGGGAGGGCCAAATGAGATGTGTGGCGTGGAGACATTTAAATATTTAATTTTTTTAGAGTATAAAGAAGTATGTGACCTGATGATGGTGGGATTACAGACAGCTCTTACAGAGCTGCTGCAGATTGCAAACAGCTCTTTATCCTAAGTTCACAGTGTACAAAAAGTGACACATAAACAGCAATTGAGCTGGATGAGCTTTGGAGAGCACAGGTGAGGAAACTGTTCAGCTATGTAACTCCCTGTTGTGAATTATGAAGAGTGTGTTGGAAGGGACAGACTGCTTGCCAGTCCTGGAAGGGGCAGAGTTGGGATGCCATTGATAACTGAGGCATGTTCAGTTGAGAAGAGTTGTGAATTTTCTTACAGAGAGAAGAAATGAATTCTTATGAGCAAAGGCAGGGCTAGACGAGAAGTACATGTAAATGTTTCATGAATTCAAAGGTAATTAGAAGCATGGATTTTATCTTTGTTACATTGGTCTCATGGCAACTATGGAAACACTCTGTTTCCTCTGTTTCTGCATCCCTCAATGCCTGCAAATAACTAAAATAACTCTATTAACTTATTGAGGCATAGATGCCAACCCATTGTACTCATACTTGTGACTTGTTCTTACAGCTGTTGATTAACAGACCATATTACTCTGTTCATTCAAAGAACAAAGGTCATGAAAGAAACTAGAATGAAATATTGATATGTTTTCATGAATCTGAATGTTTCAACTGAGACTATTTCAGGAAGAGAGTTTTCTTATCACCCAGAAAAGGGAGATAAAATATATAAGCTATAAGGCTTTTTGAGGGCAGTTAAGCTTTCTCTTCTGTGTTTCAGGTAGCAGAACACCTCAACTAGCCCTAATATAGTGTTGTCAAAGTATGCACTAAGATTACATCCTTGAATTTAAAAAAAAACAAACAAACAAACCAAAACAGGGACTGCAAGCCATATTATCTGCATATGCACTGAGGGTACTCAGATGCCAAACACAGAAATCACTGCGTAAATCATACTGTCATTGAGCTTTCCCTCAACACCATGTCAGACATGGATGCAAAAACCTAAGCTTATGTGCTTGTCTTTGAATATTCTGGGTGAGCAGGGCCTGCTTTTGACATAAACACACCATGGCTTAGTGAGGCAGGAGGTGCACAGACATGTAGCTCCTGACTGAGAATTCCACTTGGCTGCTGAAGCAGCATAGGTGGGAACTTGCTTGCCTGATGTGCTCTTTGGCAGTACAATACATTAACTGACATACTGGTACAGACCCAATTATCTGTCTGGGAAACTGTCCAGCAACAGACACCAAAAAGGCAAATGCATGGAACCTCATCAAGAATAATTACAAACCAGCTTTCCTTAAGGTGAAGTTTCATCTTGTTTCCAGATAGTGAAAAGTTGGTGTTAAGCAGAAGAGTTATTAGTCTTTGCAATATATTCTTTCCAACTGTAGGTATGACTTCTGAGTTTTCATACAAATGCTTAATGCCCTCATGAAGGTCTATGCATTGATACCTGTGCATTTCATTTACTCAGTCATTTTATTCACTGCATATCAAAGGTAAGACATGGAGTAAACGTGGGCAGTAACTTGTTAATCCACCATTACTTCTCTGTATAGCTCTGTAAGTCTTTTGCATTGTTTCTCACTCTTCTGGTGAAGAACAGATATCAGATGCCTAGGTGACCCCCACTCCTTTCCCTCCTGATTCTCATCCCTACATGTTGAGGGTGCTCTCATATACTGCAGGACATCCCAGACGATGTCTGTGGAAACAGAATGTAGATTTCTGCTTTGACATGATTGAGAAAAGTGAGATCAGGATATTTCTAATGCTTTTGCCATGACTGCCTTTCCTCCATGCTTGCAGAGTTGAGAACCAACATGATGACAAATAACACAAGATGCATTGTGACGTGAGAGCCTTTGGATGCCAAATTATGGAAGAAGTACTCTGAAAATAGGACCTGGGAATACCACCCTGGGAATAAAAAGAATAGAAAGACTTATTACAGAAAACCCCAAGCCTGTTTTTGTGCAGTTCTAGCCACAGCCAGGACATCTTGACACTTAATCCCTTGGAACTATGATAGAGACATTGCAACCTTGCTTTAGAACAGGAGGAACAATATCCAGTCACTACTTAATTGCCTTGGTAGTGAGTAAATCCCTTTCCTCTGACTGTAAAAACTACTTTGCCATAGACTTAATATGCAAAAATAAATGTCCTACTGCCTGAACTACCACCAAGCAGTTCATTTCACTGCAGCTTCCCATAAGGGGTTATTAAACCTCATTGTCATTGGTAGGAGATTCAGACAAGGTTCTCATTTGTCTCCCATTGTGTAAAGAGAGAGAATGTATTTTGTGTATATAAGTTTTCACTGGGCTGAAAAGAGGCCACAGGATTTGAACTAGATCACTAATTTCTCCACTGATCTTGAACATCCAAGGCGTACAAAACATGGCCTGCTGTGTTTCCCGAAGTGGCCCACAGAACTTCTAGAATACAGTCATATAAGAATAACATGCCTTGTTATCCTCTGGTGAATACACATGGAAGGTGACAGAGACCACAGACGCCCCCCAGCATCTCGTGCTCAATATGTTTTCTAAAGAGGACAACACTTTTGCAGTCTTAGATGCTGTAGGTGGAGCTGACAGTCAGTCAGCACACATGCAACTGGATTTGTGAGTACTACAAGTTTGTAGAAACCTCTTAAAAAGCAACAGACTCAAATTTTCTAGGGTTGGACTCACTCTAGTCAGATGTGAGGGTTTTTTTTAATCTTCACACTCTCTTTGTACTGCCATGGGTGTTTTATTTTTGTTTCCCTATATTGTTTTTGGATTGACTTTTTAAATCTTGAAAGAATACACTGCTACTCTCCCTCTTCAACTAAAAAAAAAAAAGAACAATAATGTTTCTCTAATAGTGTAATAGAGAGTCTGAACTCTGCTTGTTAATGTAGTGCAACTATTCTGTGGTACATCCTATCATCTTATGGGACTCTTCAATAACTATTAAATGTGGCTTCTCAGTCTTCAATTGCTGGGTTGACTAAGGGAATACTTAAATCCACACATGAGTAGTAGCTGCAGAAGTTGTGCTATTCTAACCTTGACAGATGGAGAAATACAGTAAGTTCATTACTAGTTCACAGTGAGCCAAAAGATGGGCACAGATTGGAATAGCTAGAGTTATTTCCTCTCAAGAAACAAAGGAGGTATCTTTTTATGTAATGTCTTCATTCAAGTCTTGCTTAACAAGGCCATTTCCATTTTGCTTTCTATGTGTTGGTGAGGTGGACAGGTGTATTATTTATGAGTTTTCCTCTCAAGCTCAGCTTCATGTTTTCATACTCCTGCATAGGGATAGATACAGTCCTGAAGCTCTGCTTCTCCTCAAAGTAGATCTTTCCTTAAGCAGCTGCTAGTCTGTCTGAAGGGAGACATAGGCTCTGTATTCTCATGCATCTCTACCAGACAACACAGTTGATGCTAAGGACATTGTAATTCCTTTTTTTAAGGACTGAAGTGACTTGTGGGACTGGCACCCTTCCCTGAACACTCTTGATAAGAACTTGTGAAAGAGTTTCACCTCCCTTGTTCCAATTGTCTATTTTACTGCAGGTCTGCATTTTCTTCAAAAACAATATTCAGTCAGCTGTGCTCATTGATGTAGCTGGTTAGGGTGAGAAAAAGACCAAGTATTTTTCAACAGCAAAGGGCTTCAGATTTTTTTGTCACACTTTTCAACGTCTGTAAGGGGGTCAGAAGAAAACAAAACCCAAATTCTGATGCTCAGGATTTCAGAATAACACAATTTATGCCTTTTCTTTCAATAATAGGCTTGTGAAGACCAGAACCTATTAGTTTCCTTCTTCACTTGCAGATCCAGCAGGATAGATTCTAGGAATCTTTACTGTTCCATTCTCTTGGCAGTTTCATAAATACAGTTGCATAGCACCAAGGACTTGCTGTTCCTTGCGTGAGCACAAAGGATTAGCAAGTTTCCCTCCTGGATCATGGAGCAGACCCAAGAACTGCGCATGAAATAGCATAGAATTTTGAGCCCTTTACTCTCAACCTCTTCACCAGGTTCACATGTCTTATTGCTTACCACATATTATGCATTAACTGGAACCTGAGTTCCAGACCAAGCTGGCATACCAAGTGATAGTCTGATGCTCATCTCCATCCGAGTAATAATGTCTCACACCATGATGGCATTCTTTGGAAAAAATGGTAATTTTTTTGTTGCCTTTATTTTGTCTTTGTAGCTGTGCTGAGCTCCCAGACACAGATAAAGCCTGCTGGTGGCTTTGTAAAGTTGTCTGATACCTTTTGTTGGCAGAGAAGAGGCAATAGGTGCTTATGATCTGTCTAAGGTATTATTTCATCTCCTCCCCGTGTTATTACAACTTTCCCTCCCCCAACCCATTACCAATGTATGATGTCAGCCATATTTAAGTGCCTCCAGTTACTTAGCTCTGCTTTCAAATCATGGCAAGGGTTTGCTTTTGTTCATGGAACAGGTAGTGTGCAAGCTGTGTGCACTCTCTGGGTGCATTAAGTCTTCAAGTAGCATACTGATATCTCTTGAGTAGCATAATGACATCTCTTTTTCTTACAGTGAATATCCTGCTGAATTCACCCAGAATCTTTCCAGAGTTTGAGACTAGTGGAAAAAGGATGGTGTAAACATCACACTTCAACTGGTTCAAGATGATTCAAATGGACTCGCATGAGCTGGATGCTGTTTAGAATCTTTTTCTGGTGACCAACGAGGGTGATGCCAATACGCTGGATATCTCTGGAAGAGAATAGAGGATGTGGAAGGTGTTAAAATCAGCTTCTTGTTCTGAACAGTCCCAGTCCATTTCCCTGTAGATCCAAATCAATGTGTATGAATATATGTGCATGTTTATCTTTGAGAAACAGCTGACAAGGCTTCTGGTTTTGTTTGGCAAATGTGTGTATGTATGAGGTGTCAGCAGAACTTGGTAGGTTATGATACAAAAAGAAGCAGTGGAAGTGGGCCATGAAAATGATCATCAGGCTGGAACACCTCTCCTATGAAGAATGGATGAGAGAGTTGGGGTTGTTTAGCCTGGACAAGAGAGGGCTCCGGAGAGACATTCTTGCAGTCTTTCAATACTTAAAGGGGGCTTACAAGAAAGATGGAGAGAGGGGGCCTGTAGTGACAGGACAAGGGGCAATGGTATTAAACTGAAAGAGATTAGGTTAAGATTGGATATAAGAAAGGGTGATGAGACAAATAAATAGTTTGGCAGGAGAAGTTGTGGATGCCCCATCATTAGAAGCGTTCAAAGTCAGGTTGGACGAGGCTTTGAGCAACCTGATCTACTGAAAGATGTCCCTGCTGATGGCAGGGGGTTTGGACTAGAAGATCTTTAAAGAATCCTTCCAACCCAAACCATTCCATGATTCTAAGAATGTTCCTTTTCCTGGCTTCTGTCTTCTGCATAACACTTTAACCCTGTATACGGTATGGCTGGTTCTTCACATCTCTTTAAAAGTGGTTATTACCTGTGGCAGCAGTCATGAACACTCTGATGTAACAGTCTCTCTGCAACACTGACAATATGTTTTGTAGTGTACATGGGATCAGTATTAGTGCTTATAGAAAGAGATTAGAAATGTACTGTTGTATGAGGGGTGTCCAGAGGCCCTAATAAGATGTAAGAAACAGTAGCTACTTTGCTCTGGCTTACCTCTCCTTTTTCATGTGTTTATATTCTCCCTACAGCCCTTACTAAATATTTCTCAGACTGCTTTCACTTTCTGCATGGAAAACTCAGTGTCAGGTACCTGCCACTCTCTCCCCATCTACTTACTCCAGAGTCATGCGTGATATGACATCAAATGTAATCAGACCAGCCTGGTCAAAATTCTCCTTGTAACGGCCCATCTTGATAGCATCCAACCACTCATGGGCATTGCTGAGTGAAGGGAAATCTGGAGGACAGTTGCTCAGGAGAGGCTGAGATGGTCTGCAAAAGAAGCAGGTTCTAAAAACCTAAGTTATCAACATCAGCTGACCACACTAGTAAGGTAATAGTTATGAGAGGGAAAAAATGCAACCTCTGAAGAGCAGAGAATGGTGGAGAGCAATTATATTTGTTCTTCCTGCCCTGATTCCTACAGTCCCACCTTGATGCCCTGTTTCTAGACTACCTATGTTCCCTTTTCTACCTGAAAACAATAAACCTAACCCAAGCAATTGATCCTTCCTTCCTCTTTTATAGTCTCTCAGCCACATTCTCTTCTTGTTGCCCCAGATTGTTCCACACTTTCTAGGTCTACACCTATTAGTTAGGCAAAAAATTGCAGTGAGGAGGTTCCTGAGGCAGAGGTGAGACCTTACACCCTTTTACCTTTGTTACTAGCTCTCCTTGTCCTAGAGATGCACTCCTTGGATCAGAAAATAACCTATGAGATGATGAGTGCTGTTTCAGCTCCAACACCCATCAGACAAAAGCATGGCAACAAAATGACTGTTTATACATGGCATTTGCTCTTTTCCCCATCATGTGAATCTATTCCAAAACTATAACTCTCTTTATGTGCTGTTTTTAGGAAACTAGGCATGACGTGTACCTGGGGAGTACATTCCACTGAGACAAGTTTTATAACCACAGGGCAAAACATTCCAGGCCAGCAGGATGTAATTCTGTCATCAGCCCAACAACTATCTACCCTTGGTTCCATTTACCCCACCAAAGACTTCTCCTTTGCTGACCTCCTGCCTCTGGTTCCATCAGGCTGCAAAATGCAGTTGGGAAAATATGGGATGCAAGTTGCAGTTCTAATTAGTCTTATTTACTGCTTTCTTTTCCTCATGATGTTTACCAAGAGACAAGCCCTCCTATTTTGCACTAAATCTTCATCTCACCTGCTGCTCCCAGTTCCAGTGGCTTTGAGGGCAGATGGCTTGCGGATCATTTTATCTAGGGCACTGACTATTTGCTCAAATTTGGGTCTCTGGACCCGCTCCTTCTGCCAGCAGTCAAGCATCAGCAGGTGCAAAACAGTTGGGCAGTCTGGGGGTGGTGGCAGGCGATAGTCCTGGTCAATGGCGTTAATTACCTGCAGGAAAAGAAGCACAAAGTTTTATCTCAGATGGGAAAAGACAAATGAGTGTCAATCACTTGGCAGTGTATGACTTTCTTCTAATTGAATTGATACAGGACAGAGAAACAGATGTACATTCTCACCACTTCTAAAACTTACATCCTGATTGGACATGTCCCAGTAAGGCCTCTCACCATAGGACATCACCTCCCACATGACAATGCCATAGCTCCAGACATCACTAGAGGAGGTGAACTTGCGATACTGGACAGCTTCAGGGGCAGTCCAACGGATGGGGATTTTGCAGCCCTAGAAAGCAGTCAGAGAGCAACCAGAATATTAGTGAGATAAGGACTGTTTGTGAAAATGACATCACTGAACTGATCAGATGCTGGTAGCATGACACAACTCTGAGCATGGAGTGCCAGTCCAGTTGATGCTGTCTTGGAGACATTGTTGGTTTAAATTCAAACTATGTTCAAGGTTTCCACCTTGTTCTATTGACAAATATAGACTAAAAAACAGAATCATGCCTCCTTGCTGCTACAAATCCCACGAGGTAACAGATTTTAACTTTTATAGTTCTTCTTTGCAGCATTTGAGAGGTGGCAGATAGTAAAATCCTCCTGAAAGTTACAATCATTTGGAAATCCAAGGCCATTTAAACAATCCCAGCCTGCAACACCAAGGGCAGATACACTGAGTGGCTAGCATTAACTTCTACCTCTTTCCATCTCAACCTCTCTGACTGCAGGTATGACCTGCCAGACAAAATATCATTCAGGTGCTGGTTCTTCAAAACACATACATCTAAAACTTGTTTTATTTTTCAGTGATTGAATTCTTCTTCATCCCCTGTATAACAAATGGTAGTTTCAACCCACCTGCTGTACTCCCACCCCTTTTGTAGTATGTGTAACAGGTGTCAGAACTTGATAGGTAAGAAGTTCATTTTATGGTTGATTGCAAGCCCATAAATATACTTATGCCAGTTATCTTTTCTGTAGGAAAAAAACCCAACTCTTTCCGTAAAGGGTGGTAGTACAGGACTTCAATCTCTCCTTCAGTCCTTTATACTTCCTGTAAGAATCTAATGAAAGGGGAAAGATAATGCCTATATCAGGTTATGAAGTTTGTCCTATTCAACATTGTTCTGCAAAGAATGGTACTGAGAATTTATTTCACGTAGCAAAGTGGATCAGATATTCAGTTATTTTTGTGTTTTACTTGTTTGGAACAGATAGCCCACGAGATAGATAGCTCTACCCCACTGGTCTCTCTGGTATCAAGATGGACTAAAAAGGGTACACCAAATGAAGGCGGAACGCAGGAAAAAAATTAGAGCTGGCAGTACTGCAGTAATTCACTCTGTAGTGACTCACCAGTCCTCCAGTATAGGTGGGATTTGAAGCATCATCCTCCAGAAAGCGGGACAAACCAAAGTCTGACACCTTGCAGACAAGGTTACTGTTGACTAAGATGTTACGTGCTGCCAGGTCACGATGCACATAATTCATGTCTGAAAGGTAGCGCATGCCAGCTGCAATCCCCCGTAGCATTCCCACCAGCTGTAACACACTGAACTGTCCCTCCTTCTGCTGCAAGTGAGGAGGCAAATGTAGGCGTTTATGACCACAGAACATGAAGCCAACATGGGAAACTAACAAAGAGCAAGGTAACAAGGTGGATTTATGAAGTTAGAGAATGTACAACTTCAGACAAAATCTGAAGATTCGGGGACAGCAAATAAGAAAGGAGGATGGGCTTAAAGGAATGAATCTCAAATTAAGTCAGACACTGCTGATCTTTTTCTGAAAACAAATCTCATCTTGTGGCCATATTCTTCCTTAGCATCCTATGCCTAGTCTCATTAACTACTAAGATGGCTAAATAAACAGGAGCAGACAAATCTGCTCTTACTGTTTTAAGATCTTTACAATGGGTTCTATGCAATTCTACACGATGGATTCATGCACTTTTCAAAACGTACCTGCCAAAGCATTTGTGGTTGAATTAGCGTATGAATCAGTAACAAAAAAAAGAAGTGAAGTATATGTACTACAAAAATGTCTGTGTTTGTGTTTCATTACTAGAAAAAACACTGGAAACTCTGAGTACAAAAATGTCTACAAGTTTCATTACTTCATTACAATGTTGAAAAACAATCAGTGGAATAAAATCTAAGAAACATTATTAGAAAGGCAAAATTTGGATCATGCACACAAGGAACTAGAAGGCTGTGTACAAAGATAAACAATTTAGTACTGTTTACCATTAATTACTTGAACTGGAGAAGTCTAAAATAATGAAGAAATTTTATATGATGGGTGCACTTTTGGAATATTTTCACCATGTCGGCCCAAAACCACTTACTCTGGTAATTTGCTATTATTTCTATTGCACCTGAAGAGAGCAACTGAGGACTTATAGAGACAGGAGTGACGAGGAAGGACAGGCAAAATTATCAGATCTGAGAGTGGCACACAGCAAGATGAAGAGGTAACGGCTGTGGGAGACTCTGGTTGTGGTACCCTGAGGAAGGAATCCAGTGATCCATTCTCCATGAACTCTGTGACAATCATGACTGGTCGGCTCTTGGTGACCACACCCTCCAGATGGATGACATTAGGATGCTCAAATTGCCCCATGATGCTGGCCTCACTCAGGAACTCCCGCCGCTGTTCTTCTGTGTAACCTGACTTCAGGGTCTTAATAGCTACTGTGTATTCACGCTTCCCTGGGTGTTTTAGGCGCCCAAAGCACACCTCTCCAAACTCTCCTGTCAGAGAGGGAAGAAACACACCTCAAGTAAGAAAACATAACAAAGAATTTTAGTCAGGTGCACTACAACATCCTACTGTGGAAGACTCCGAGCACTGCTTGGAAATAGGATTACTAGGACTGTTTGGGTTAAGGTAAAGTTCTTGATGAAGGCTCAAGTTGGAGACTACATCTTCAGGGTTAAAATGAGGAGCTGTGAGTCTTGAAAGGGTGTTTTAAACTTCATTTGGAGCCAGCATCTAAGGGTAAGTAGGTTAAGATGAATTTTGGTAAAAATGAAGGTTAACTATCCTAAGACACTTGATGTACCATGGTTGGGTCCATTTCAGGACAGTAATGTGCCAGGTCTCAAGGTGAACAAGAAGACATTTCAAAATCTGCTGATTCTCACACTACCTGATCCAATGACTTCCTCAATCTTGATGAAGGACACATCAATCTCCTTGGTAAATTCTCGAATAGCTTCATTGGGATCTTCATAGGTTGAAGGATCAATGTAGTATTTCACTCCAAGTCCTGCAGTGGAGAAGACAGTCCAAAACATCACCAGAATCAAACCCTGAGAGATATGGGTGTTAATGAGTCCTGAAAAGACATGTCCTTGCCACCTGTTGCTCAAGAACACTTACCTCGTGCACTGATATACTGCTGCAGACGGTCTGTGTATGGAGTTTCTCGCCTTTTACTGCAGGACACAAAAGAAAGGAAAGTCAAACACACACACAAGATTCTCCCATAGGATGTTGGGGTAGGCTTCTCAATGCAAGACTCAGAGAATCCTTGAATTTAGGGATAGAAGATGGGTGTAAAGATCCTGCCCATCTCTTGGTAACCACTGCATGATTGTTTTCTATGTGGCAGTTTTTACATCACTGTTTGCATCCCCACTTTAGATATGACAAAAGATAGGGCCTCCGGCACTATCCTGAAAAAAAAATATTACAGTTTAACATTACTGTCTTGGAAGTTTTCTTGCTATTCAGGCTAAATTTGCTTTTTAATTTCATTTAATTACAACAAATTATTCAATACTAATCTAAGCCATTTCCTGTGACGTCTTTTAAGCTCTTAAAAAAGATTCTAAGAGCTATTTACTCTAATGCTTAATTTGTATCTATTTCCCCCAAAGATTAATTTTTTTTTTCCTCCTGGTCTCTTAACAGCATTTGCTTTGACTATTCTTTTCATAAGTATGGTACCCAAACCCAACCACAAAAAGTCAGACAGAGAGCAATCTGTTCCATGGTGTGATTTTTGCATGTGCAGATCAAAACAGATATGGTCTTTATTATTGTAATATTTATTGCATATATGCATCTAATTTCCAGTAAGCATAGGTCCTTCTCAGCATAGCCATTTCTGAGATTTCATTCTCCTCTCAAATATGTGTGATTCAAGCATTTTTTTCCCACATGATCTAATTGTTTTATAAATGTCATCCTATTCTTGGTTTGCTCTAAACATATTTTCCATTTTCAAGTCACCTCATTTGTTCCCAACAGTGTTCATATTTTTTTTTTTCAAAAAATGTAAAATTCATGTAGTTTACAGTCTTTTCTAAATCATATTAATTAGATCAGATTGTAAATCACACCCTGTGTTATCTTGTAGTACCCCTGCTGTATGCATGGATTTGTGGCAACTCATATGCTTTGCTGTTTCAGCACAAGACCACATAGCTGCTGATTCAATTAGCATCTGAAGACAGAATATCATGAAACATTATGTCACTTTTCTTTACTAACATAACTAATTCTGTCATTCTAACAGGTAACTTCGTGTATTATTCTTGTCAGGCTTATCTCTTTAAATTCTGCTAAGATTGGAAAAATACAGATTGTTCTACCTTCAAAATCTCTTCTGTTGTATGGAAAGAAATTGGCTTTACTGGGGGCCTGTTCCTGAGAACTTTAATTCTGCTGTTGCATCTGAAAGTCAGGTCTACATTCATGCTTTTTCTATAGGCTATCTGAATACTAATAGTTTTCCACTATAAAAATACAAAACAAAACAAAACAAAACAAAAAACCCCCAAACAATTACCTAAAATAGGTGATTCACGTTGAATATTGCCTGGAAATTGTGTACCAACAATTTATAAAAACAAGTTAAAATTATAGCATTGGACTCTACATATATTCAACTTTTTAAAGAACTACTCATTTCCTGATGTTCCTCATTTCCTGCATCTTCAAACTTACTTTTCTCATCCAGGATAAATTTAAAATAGAAATTTGGTATCTCCACTTTTTCTGAGCAACTGTCTATTAATTGCACATGATCCTTCAAGTATAAAAGAATCTATATTTTATGATATCTCCTTTTATGTACATACATTTACAGAAACCCATTAATGTCTTTCCCCAACACAGTTTTTGGTAATATTAATTTATTCTGGCTTTGCTTTATTTTTTTTTAGAAAAATATATGCTTTATTGAGTTGTGCACATAACATCACATTTCCAGCTGTAACAAGAAATTATATTTTTAACAGTTCAAACCTACAAAAGGAGGCAACAATGCAAATATGACAATATTTGATAATTCTTTTCTTTCCAGAAAGAAAAATATTAAAAGAGAATATACACAGAAAGAGAAAACAAATGTAGAAAAGTAAAGAGAACAAAAAAGAAATAACTAAAACTAGATGTCACTTTCTAAAGTTAAGTAGTTCATACATTTTTTTAGGTCAGTAGAAAAAGCTAAAAAGTCTCTCTTGTGCAGAGACATACAGAAATCCATTACTGACAATCTAGAGGATTAAGTTCAAACCTCAGTAAATTCAAGGAGTGGGTAATGTTTCTTTTCTTCAAGTAACAAAGTCCCTGCTGTTTACTTTTGTGCCTCTACAAAAGTAGCCACCCTTGCATTTTTGTCTTCCTCTTTAAATATTCTGTCCTTCTTTTTTACCATAACACATTATTTCTACATTGACTTATCTGTCCTTTTTTAATTCACAAAATGGGAGGTGGCATTTACTTTCTTTAACCTGTATTTTATGAGTTAAGGGTTCTGTGGAACCACTGGGGTTGTACAGATTTTATTCTTCAGCAAATGAGCTATTGTCTCTTGGTTCTTGATTAAAGGGTATTTAGCACCTTCTAAATAGGTGGATCTAAATATTTATTCCACTAGTCCTTCTTCACTACATTGTTTCATTTTCCACTTGCCTAAAATGCAATTTACAGTCCCTCTTTACAGTGATGCATTTAAATACCTTTTTAGCAACAGCTTTAAAATGTTTCCCTTGTGTTCATATTGCTAACTAGCCAAATATCAGCTAAGTACATGAGCTGTTTACCAAAGGAGAGGCTCCTCAGATAGGAGTAATGGGGCAGGATCTTTCCTTAATTAGCAAAGGGCGTCTCAATGACATCTGGATAAATGTAGATCAGGCTGTTTCCCTTGGGATGGGTTTATGTAGCGGGGGTAGGAAAGTTCCACTGTCTGCAGTGCACATGAGCGGGTCAAGGAATTCACCTCTTGAAGATGATGGCAAGGATGGCAATGGCAGCAATTACCAAGAAGGCTAGGCCGCCGAGTGCTGAGCCCACGATAAGCGGCAGTCGGTCCTGCACCATCTCCGAGCGCTCCCCTAGCAAGGAAGACACATACATACACACACACATATGCAGAGGACAGGAACTGTTAGTGTTTCCCTTCTACTCAACTAGGTCTTACCTATAATTCCATTTCTACCAGCCCTTTGCTTCCCAGGCTAGCCCTGGCAGTTCAACAAATGCTTGGTTATCCCTTTACCCCTCCACTACTGTGCTTCTCCGGTGCCCTCCTTCCTACTTCTGAAAGTCAGTGCTCCCTCTGAATCCACTTTTCCTTCCCCATGTCCACTGACACCTGACCAGCCACGTCAGTATAGCTTTGATCCCATTGTCCCCTATCAATTTAGCTTGTAGATGACATATATGAGTACCTTTGATCCAGACCAAAGAGTATCACAAGGTCATACGTTGGTCTCTGCATGAATGGATGGTGATACTGCTGGAAGGCAAGCTTCTGGGTATATGTCCTGTGTCCCACTTGTCTTTAAGACTTTCACAGAGCATTCAGCTGTAACATGTCCTGTGACAGCTGGAGACCAAACTACAGCAGTGTACAGTGCTATGTACTGTAACACTCTCCTAAAGAGAGTTCTACTGACACACTCTGATCCTGCTGGTCAGAGACACAGAGGCAACAAGAACTAGGACTGAGGAATATGGTGACAACCTAAACAATACACTCTGACAGCATGAAGCTTCTTTGAGTGAACAAATCTGCATATGCAAGTTATGATATACAGGAATACAAGCTGAGTAGGAGTGTCTAGTAGCAGTCTTCCAGAGGATAAGCAAATACACTTAGGGATACACACAAGTGAAAGATGGTCATATGCAGATCTGAGTACAAAATGGTAGCACTTACCTCCCATTAAAGTCTGGAAATACATCTTTCCACTGTATGGGCCATAGCCCACTGCTGTTCTAGCTCGTACTTGGAAGGCATAGATCTTGCCGGGGCTCAGATTTGATATGGTGGCCATGTTGGTCTCGCTAGTCAAGGTGAATGAATTATCCTCATCTTCTGCCTGTGAATGGCAGTGACCAAAAAGGAATGTGAGACTTCTGCCCACACCACTTGCTCTCCTCATCAAGGAATGCTAGTTTCCATGTTGGCCCAATATTCTTTGCATTTGTTACAGAGCCTCCCAACCACAACTGGTATTCCAGACTTGACTTCCTTGCACACTACTTGTTCCTCACTGCTGTTCTTCTTTCCTTTAGGCCTCGGCTTCCCACAAAGTTCTGCCAAAGACCCTCAGTCCCAACCTAAACAAAAGTGAGAGACAAAACTACCTTGTCCTATGGTTCCTTGCTAAGCATATCCATACAAACGGCCCTAGCCTGTCCTGAAATTTTGCTTTCTACATACTCTAAATTCATATATTCTCCTAGGAGAATCCAGAGTAAGAACACATGTAATGCTGTATCCAAGGAGCGGCTAGACATATTATTACAATATTACAAATAGCAGGCCCTTCCACTGCTAGAAAAACAGTAGCTCTGCACAATCCTGCAAAAATATTATGTGAAAGATCAAGAAAACGGAATGGGAGCTTGTTTGAACAGCACTACGTAACTCTTCCCCTCAAATCAGTTGGATTAAAAGTCATAAAAGATGTGAATGGAGAACAGCTTTGTATTTGCCAGTCTGTAATTCCAGCACATAAACAGGTAACTGATTATTTGCCAGTTAGTGAATGAAAGAGTGCATTCCTCCCTCCAGAATTTCTTAGAGATGTCTGTCCAGGCATAAATGGGGACACAGGACTTCCTTCCACAAACACATGACTGAATGTTGCAGTGAGTCCAGTTCCAATATACACATTTGGAAACTTCAGCTCCTTCCACTGTTATGTGTGTCAGCTGGTGCTAAACTTACTAGGTTGTTAGCCACAGCTTTTTAGCTTAGTTTACAGTGTCTTCTCTTTTTGTCATTTGCATTGTTCATTATATGGTTCCAAGTTGGCAAACACAGATGGATTGATGTTAGATGAACCAAATATTATGAGCACCTGGTTTTACTACAGCTTGTTCTTCCCTCATAATTGAAGCATTTTTCTCCACCTTCTGCATTCTGATCCAGGGGTGCATTTCCCAGACAGAAGATTTCCCTGTTCTCTTTTGCGTAACAGCTATGCAACGTTCAGCATCACATCACTTTCTGCTCACCTTGTCAAAGTAGCGTAGCTGGTAATCCAGGATGATCCCATTGGGCTGGTCTGGCTGAGGCCATGACAGTGTGATGCTATTGGTAGTATGACTCACCTGATGCATCATAGGGACAGCAGAGGGGACTGGAATAAAAGAGAGGAAGAAGAGATTGCAAAGAGATAAGCTTAACAATGAACTATAATTGAATATTCATTATGATGAGTTATGATAAGTTAGGTCAGCTCTTCCTTTAATTTCCCCTAATTTGCATTATGAAGTACTTTATAAAGTAACCAGAAGAAATCCAGGTACGATTCTACTCTACTGGGAGATACAGTCACTGACAACTTGCACAGGATCATGCAGAGGACTATACGGCAGTTGAACAAGTGATCTTCAAGTTTGCAATTTTTACATGCAAGATGACAAGGTGTTCAGTGCCACTGCCTTGTTCTAGGATCATGCTTGGACAAAGAATGTGACAGTGGTCAGAGCAAAAACAGAACACACTACCTTTCTTCTGCTTCTCCCCTAGATTATAATTCTTTGCCTGGGTGTGGTAGCTTGACCTTGCCTGAATGCCAGGGGCCCAAGCTGCTCTATCACCCCCCTCCTCAGTAGGATGGGGAGGGGAGAAAATAACAAGGAACAAAAACCCCAAACTCATGGGTCAAGACAAAAGGCGGTTTAATAGGAACAAAGCAGAGTTGCACGTGCAGAAGCAAAAGAACAAAATATTTATTCTCTACTTCCCATCAACAGGCGGTTTGGCCACTTCCCATGAAGCAGGGCTTCGTATGCATAGTGGTTACTCTGGAGGACAAACATAAATAGCAAATGCCCTCCCTTCCCCCTCCGTTCTCCTTGCTTTTATTTCTGAACAGACATCATATGGTATGGAATATCCCTTTGGTCAGTTTGGGTCAACTGTCCTGGCTATGTCCCCTCCCAAGACCTTCCCCACCCCAAACCTACTGGATTGGGATGGGGCAGGGGGAGGAAATGTTGGAGAGCCAGCCTTGGTGCTGTGCTAGCACTGCTCAGCAGTAACCAAAACACCGGTGTGTTATCAACACCTTTCTAGCTACTAATACAAAACACAGCACTCTGAGGGCTGCTATGGGGAAAAATAGCTCCATCCCAGACAGACCCAATACAACCTCCATCCCTTATTCCATACCATTTATGTCACGCTCAGGCTTTTTGAAAAGTCTAAAGTTCAGTTCAAGACTTTGAGGCTTGTATAATTGCTATTAATTCTTACTAACCTGAGGCTCATTAAATCAGTAGGAAGGAAACAAAATATTATCTTGAAGATAATATGATTAATAATTTCAAACACTGTTCATGGAACAAAAATTAGATTACAATGAGAAACAAACCAAGCTGCTATTTGGGGTAGTTTTGCTTTTCATTTTTTTGTCCTCTTAGAGGCACCATTCACATGTTCTGAAGACAACAGAAATACAGAACACCTATTTAATAGCAGGCCCTTTCCTGGAGTAGTTAGTTATTCTAAAAAATGTCCTCAGAGCAGGAAAGGAGATGAATGGCTGTTAAGGCCACTTGCATGGGAAGCTTTCTGGAGAATGAAAATCCACTTCTGCAAACAACAACCATGAATTTATATGTACACAGACACAAACACACACACTCCAGGTTCACGCAAAAGCTAAAAGAATATGAGTTTCATATTAGGTAGAGATTTCCAAGCAAAAATTTCAGGATAATTGGAAGAGGATATTTCAGCCTGCCAGCTTTCTGTCCATAAAGCTCTTTTCAAATTTTGCTTTCTCTCTGCAAGCAAAATGTCATGTTGCCAAGAAACCTCCAGGTAGGCAGCTAGGGAACCCTCATTTTCCTAATGGAAATAACATTTTCAGCAAGATTTAAATTTTCCAGAAAAAGTATGCCAGTGAAAAGCTGCCAACTAATTCCACTGGTTTTACACAATAGACATAAACTTCCTTGATGTTAGGAATGAAGTAGAGACATTTGGCAAATGATCAAAAACTGCAGAATAGCATTTTCTTCCCTCATTAACTGTGAAAAAGATAAAAGGATTGTTTTTAATAATAAGATTAAATTATTCTGAAAGACATAATTCAAATGGGCTCCAAACAGCTCAGGCAAGCGGGAACCAGTTAAAAATGTAAATGAAACAAAAATGTAAGAGTATAAACAATAAAATGCTTTCTCTCATCCTTACTCTTTCTATTTCTTACAATTGCTTGTCTTTCAAACAAGATTGCACAGCTACTTCATCTGCTAATGACAATGTTGCGACAAGGATGGAAGACAGCAGCAATTAACCAAGCGTTTAAAACACAAATGAATAACACTGTATTCAGATGATAATCAGAGGAGAATGGGATAGTTGGTTAGTTAATATTTGATCAAGGCAGATTCTGCTACATTTGAATGTTGTGAAAAGTTTAACTCCTTCTGATGGCACATAAAGCACACACAGGGAGAGCTGAAAACCTAAATACACAGCTACACTTCCAGGGAAGAGCCCACCTCATTCTGGTTTCAAATAAAGATTTTGCAGAATGATCAGAGTTAAATCTTCTCTCCATTCCTGCCCTCCCACCTCTTTTGAACAATGATGATAAATGGTACTCGAATCAGATGGGCAGTATGCAGAAGCAGGTTACAACTAGTGGAATTAGAAATATCAGGAAACACAAGAAAAAAATCACTGGAGTGGCTTTACCCAGAGTTATACTGTGTGTATCTCTTGATCATGCACCGCAGCATTCTAAAATGTCCCTAATATCCAGGTATGTCCATCACTCAGAGTAATCAGGTGGTGGTGGTGGGGATGCTCAGGATAATGCAGTCTGCTGTATTAAAAATAGTCATTTCAGTAACATGTACTTAACAAGCAGATCCTACTCAAGGTAAAACCCTAAACCAGTAAAAATGCTCAGTAATAAAAATAGCTATGAATCAATGTAAGACATGTTGTCTTTATTTTACCTCTCTGAGACAGAGCTCAGATTTTGATACATATGTTTGCCTCTCTTTTAAGGACAAAACTTATGAAACACTGGTCAGGAAGCTCTCCCACCACTTCAAATAAAGGAGATATCTAGATTTAGGTTGCCCAAGGAAGTTGTGGCTGCCCCCTCCCTGGAAGTGTTCAAGGCCAGGCTGGATGAGGCTTTGAGCAACCTGGTCTAGTGGAAGGTGTCCCTGCTGATGGTAGGGGGGTTGGAACTAGATGAGCTTTAAGGTCCCTTCCAACCCAAACCATTCCATGATTTCTATGATTTCTTCTTCAAAAAAATTCATACTAAGTTGATGTGAATACTAATAGTAAGGTGATGTGAAATGTGAATGTATTTCTGGGTGGAATAAGTACATATTTCCTGTCAGAAGTGTATGAAAAAGTTACTCTCCCAGTGTTAGTAAATTAGGAAATATAAAGTTCAAGCTTTTTATGTGTTATGACAACACCTGAACTACCCTACCTCTGCTGCCAGAGGTGCTAGATGAGTATTTTCCTTTATATGTATGCCTACTATTAAAAATGTTTATAAAAGAATATTGTTTTCAAAGCTTGTTTCACATATACAAGTGTCCAGTTCTATGTTGATTTGTCATTCTTATTCATTTTGCCCTTTTCACAGGGGGTTTATAAATGGAGACATGCTAGCTCTGTGTCTAATGACAGCTGAAATCACAGGGTCTGATTCAACCCAATCTGGGCAGTTGCACTAAATAATCATTGTAGGTACCTTCGAACTATTCTATTCTATTCTATTCTATTCTATTCTATTCTATTCTATTCTACTCTACTCTACTCTACTCTACTCTACTCATTCACTGAGTGCAAACAACATTTTGTGAGATCAGACCTCTAAGGAAGACTGAAAAAAGATTGCCTATTGTATACTATTTGTAAAACAGCAAACCTACAGAAAATTCTTGCACATACATACAAAACCTAATTAAAGCTGTAAAGTAGTCCAAACAGCAGTTAAATACAGCTCTCAGATTCTATTTCTTGCAGGCTGTCAATTGCACCGCTTCTATATGGTGGGACATTTTTTTTCCTGGCACCACGCAGTGGTGGATTCAAGATATTTTGAGTACCTTGAAAATGCTACATTCCCTGAGTTGCTAATGCTTGACAAGTTTCTTCTGTTTTCTTATAAAGCTAATGTCCTTACCTGTAGTATCTGCTCAGGACCAGCAACACGTGCCTGCAATCCTAAAAATCTACCTAAATCAACAGACTAGGTAAGGAAGGAATGTGAAGGGAGTGCAGATTATTATAACAGTACATGGCGAACCCCACTTGGGCAGAGCAGAGCCAAGTGCCATTCTCAGTACATCATGAACTTCTCTGGCATGTGACATTCCATCCACATTCCGTGCAGATACCCATGACAGGCAGCTGAATCCCATCTCCAGTCAATACCATCACTGGAACCTACTGAGCAATCCAGCCCACCCTCAAGCAAAGTTACCCATACATTTGAGAGGCCCCTTGCATCCAC